AAATGTCTGACTAGCCTGTTCATAAGTAAGTAATATAAGATATAAACAAATTTAACATTTTGGTTCCACATGTGCGGGGCTCCAGACCAGACCACCCAATCTTATGGAAACCTGTCCAGTCCTTTGCCTGAATTTTCCCTCTTAAAATAAAACAAGAGAGAGTTAGAGTCATTCAATCTTATGGAACGTGCCCAACTCTCCTTCATAACTAATAAAACATAAAAAAACCCAAAGAAGCAAGGCAATCAAGTCATCCAATCGTATGGAAAAATGCTTGGTCCCTGACGGTCAAACACATGCAGCCCTCACAAGTCAAAACAACTAGACGACCCAATCTTATGGGAACCTGTCTGGTCCTTCAGGCAATCGAAAGATAAATATAGCATTGAGCCCTCCAATCCTATGGAGACTCTCCCAGCCTTTGGTTGACCCAGTCAGACACAAACAATACAACCTTCCTCCCACATTTCTCCCAGATGCAACCTCTGTTCACAATCTGCTTGCAGTCCGACAACAAAATTGAAGCTGACCTTGCGGATGCATTCCTTTATTTAAGTCTGGTTTATCCTGAAAGTCATACTGAAAGTCAAAGTAGGGATGCAGGCAATATACTCAGTAAAGACGTAACAAGGAATACAGATAGGGGTTATAATTGGGTTTATAGAAGGAGATGAAAGGTTACTTCTCAGTTCCATGCCTCCAGAACTCCTCCCGAGTTCCGGCAGAGCTGCCGCAATCGGTGGGTTGACTCCCCACAGAGTCTAGCTGTCATCCCAGACATAAGAGAGTTGCTCTCAGACTTGCGCGAGAGGGCCTTAATACCTTCGACCGCAGGAGGGCCCCGCAATGGCGGCCAGACGCATCGACAACTTTGTCAAACTGAAGTCAACCACCAGCTGTAGACTCCTTGACGCCCTTCCAATTGCAGCAATACCTCTCATGCAAACATTGACCACTCACCCAAGTCACAACACCTTATCCTCCGACCAACCTATCATTACGTAGCCTAGAAGAACAACATTCATATTGAGCACACCCCCTGTGCTCTTCTTAGATGTGTGGAGAAATGCAGCACAGGTCATTTGCACCGCATCTGCAAATGGCAACTGATGCAATAACTTCGCAAAATGCAGCGAAGCAACACGCAAAGCACAAAAAAAACAGTAAAAGAACAGGCGACCCGAAGATCAGCAAAACTCGCAATATAATAGGGGCATTCTCCCGGTTCACTCCAGACACAGCAAAGTGGGCTTACGCCCCCCCCTTTTGCACTGCATCTTTATGAACAGATGAGCCCCCTTAATCAACTTCCCACTTGACGATACTTTGGCCTTTGTATCCACGCCCTTGCACGTAGCCTGTACATTGATATCACCACAACCTCCACTTCAGCTCCTCCTTGCCACTTCTTGATGTTTACTATAGCAGTAGTTTGATGGCGACCAGCAGCAACAGTCAAGAATTCGGTCAGCATTCTGCAAGCAAAACAGCAGCAGGTCCTATAGTAATCCGGTGGCCAAACAGCCTGTAGCAACAACAACTCTTGCACCCGTAGATGGTAGACAGGGAGAAAAGTGACAACAACAGGGATTATAGCAGGTTGTTTCGTCGAAATTTTCCTTGGTCCATCAACTAACGCATTCAGACTGTTGCAGATACGGTGGTTCAACTTTGCCTTATCTTCGTCCTGCCCGTGGTAACTTGGTACAGAGTTGCGCCCTCCTTCTCATTCACCTCCGCTCGTCATCTCTTCACTACTCACCTCACTTATCTCAATCCTCACTCTCTCTCTTATGTGTGGTCATAGCTGTTAGCGGACAATTCTCCAACTCTCCAGTCGCCCCTATTCGATTTCCATTGCACGGATCAGCGCATTGGCCGATGGTTCAGTCTCCAACTTCACAATCCCCCCCTCAGTAGACCTGAGCGAAACTTGAAGTGAACCTTCCGCCTGATCATGAGAGATACTGTGCTCAAACGAACATCTCCCGGAATCATCTTGCAGCCTCCATTAAACTGCGATATTGGGAGGAATCTCCTGCTAGAACGTGGAGGAATCCTACTTTGCCAGGCAAGCTCCATCCTCTCCCTTTTTTTTCTTTTTTTTTGAACTTCCCGTCTAACAACTTGAACGCTTCTTCGCCCCGTGCTCTTCTCCTCGCGGCTACCTGCGTTCCAGTGTCTGAACGCATCTGGCTCAATTCTTCACACTCCCCAATAAAAATAAACAAAGTAGAACATAGAGGCATTCGCCGGTACCCTCACACTGCTTTCGATAGTAGGATATATAAAATCGAGTGAATCTGCCCCTAAGCGTGGGTAGATTCATTCCACACTCATACAACAGCCTACCACTCCCCCGACGTATCTGCTTTTCCTACTAACTCTAGTTCTACTAACCTTACACAAAAACTGACCTTACCAATCAACTCGGATTCGAGTCCTTCCTCGCTCAAATCCCTTCACTATTGAGTGAGATATACCCTTTTTTCATTGTACTCCTTTCTCTTCTCCGTCATAGCTCGTCGCACGCCTTTTCTATTCTATCTCTTTCTCCTCTGCTCTAACTCGAAAACTAACTCTACCATCCCCTTCGCCTGGCCAAAGAGCCCCCAGTTAGGATTTTTCCTTGCCAGTCTTCACTAAGAAACAAGCAGACTTTATCTCTTCCCTTCTCGCTCTTTCTCCTCTCCGACCCCGTTTCCACGCAACTCTTTTCTTTCCTAACTCTCTTTTTACCGACTTATTGCCAAAACTAATAGCGAATTTGAAGTTGCCCGCCTTCAAACCCCGTCGTACACTCTTTCTCAGCCTTATTCTATCTTGGATCGAGAAGGCCATCCATCTCCCCCTCGGCCATATCAGTCTTTCGTCACCTCTTCGTCACGTTCGAATGCACTCGACACGATCTTCGTCCGGGTTCATTCGGTTTTCTGCTACGCTCGCGCTTGACTTCGACCGCCCACTCTTCCTTCTTTCTTCTAATTCGGCAGCGCCTAACGCAGTGGCCAGCTTGACTATTACAGCGCCAAATATAAAACTTCTCTTGAATCAACTACTGGGCGGTCCGGATAGTCTTTCGTTCTTACATCCAAGTCCGACGAACGAATTGGCCGGCGACTTGCCACCACAACCTCTCCCTCTAGCTCCGGTCAGACAGAGTCTGCTACCGCCATGGACCTCTAACGACCAGTTCTCGCAGAGACAGCTGTTCGCGGTGCGGCCTGCTGCAAAGCCTAGCGTGGGCCTCAGTAGACTAGGCTCTTTGCTCATTCGCTGCTCATAGTCAAGCTCCTCCCTACACCGCTTTCTGCCTTTCCACTGCGCCGGTCCACAGGTGCTTTTGGCTTCTGCTGTGCCACTGCCTGGCCCCCGTAATGCTTAAACCTCGACAAAAGTGGGTCCCTGCGCAAATCTTGAGGGTAATTCAAATTTTCTAATCATAACTTTGAGGGCCGAAGTGGAGGGGAGTCCCGTGGGCATACTCACACCCTAACCCTCCACCGCAGACTATGGGAATCGGACAGTATTCCCACAGAAGGTCCCAGCCACTCAACCTCTTCTGGCTCGTGGGCTAATTTACCCACCGACTCGCATGCACACTGAACTCCTCGGTCCGCATTTCGAAACAGTTAGGATAAAGGAATTTCGTCGGCATCCTGAATACGTAGGAACTCGTAGGTCACCCCAAAGATGCGCGCTCCTAAGGTCCTGGACCGCCGTGACGATCTCTAAATCCAGCGCCACGTCCATATCAAGGAACACCAATGCATAGATTAATAATTAACAACACGTCAATAAATAATAAAATATTTAGAATTTTTTAATGACGAATCGAAGAAAAAGAACTCACTAGCATCGTTCCAACGCTGCCGACAGCAAAACCAAAGGCCCTCAACCCCTTGGTCCCTTCGCGCTACTTTGACATTCCCGCGCCGTCGCTGATGGACCTCGATCCCTGAATCTCTTTGATAAAAGTCTGATGCCGTAACCGCTAGTGCTAGGCTCAAGTATGGGTCTAATTTTGATGGACACCTACATAAGCGGATACTATGCAAAGCGCAGACACACCGAAACGTCTTCAAAATCACACGGTCGTCGATGCCTCCATACGTACGCACTGGTCACAGGCTGACACACCAAACACGGGACAAAAATCTTTTTAATCCTAATTTAATCAGAAATATAAAAATCTGGCCGACAACCAATGCCGACTTTCCCAATCATCAAAAGGGAAAATAGACCACGTGCGCCTTAAGTATGTGCGCCCACACACTCTCTACTCTAGTCAACTGTCAAGTCAACGTAAACCTCAGACACCACCACACTTCGCGTGGTATACTTAAACTTTAAACCAAACCTATTTTCTGTCGCTTGCAAGAACCAGGGCGGATACCCATGTAAGGGTATTCGCACCAACACCGCCCAAGCAAGCGACAATGTGAGGTGCTTCAATGACAATGTGACATAATGGAACGTGAAGCTATGACTCTGGAAAGACAATGCGAGGTGCTGGACATTAGGCAGCGGATGCTTTGCGACACGCTGCTGAAGATAGCATCCGCATTGTCTCGCTAGCGATGCGGTTCATCGTTGTCATGTGGACGACCAGGGAGATTCACTTTCGCCTCCTGTTGTTGTGACAATCCGGCTCCCGTGTGTCATGTTTACTAATGTGTTATCCGATTTTATGAGTTTTTTTCTTTTACTGAACTTTTTTTTTTGTGTGGTTCTTACAGTGGCGCACGCTATACGTCCATCGAACTAACCAGCCGTGTTTGACGGTGATCCATTCAGTGGCGCACGGGCGTCGCTGAAATCACCGCCATTCATGCCTATAAAAACGACGATGATTGGTAACATTCGTTGACTGTGTGCCAGTCGAGCAAGTCGGGTGGTCGTGATCGTCATCGCGGACGAGCTGGTCGGGTTGCGCGCCACGAGCGGTGAAAGTCATTGCGCATACCTTTACCGGTTTGCAAACCGTGGATGCGTGGCGGGTGGTCATTGCGCTGCAGGTGGTCCTCTTCTTCTTCGTGGGGTGGTGAAGGCCGGTGTGCATACGGGGGAAGGTGCCCAAACCGAGGACATATGGAAGTCTCAGGGACAGAGTTGTTCCCAGGGGATATAGTGTTGAGGGAGACTATGGACGCCGTCGTCGCACTAAGAGGGCGGATCGCGGGGCGAACGGTCATTTTCTACGAGATGCGTCACCGTAGAGACAAGGATTATGGACGGGCGTTCGGGTTCGTGAACACTGTCGCGCGTCATGAAGTGAGGCACTTCGAGGTCGATGAAAACGGCCGCACTTGCATGCTCTTCACTGTCGGTTATGGTTTCGCTCGTGGATTGTTCACACATATCGTTGCTTTCGCAACGAAGGTCGGAGATGAGATTCCTGATCGATGGGAATTCGGCGTAGACGTTCTTGCCGATCTCGTCGATCTTCTAGTTTCCAACGTCGCGATCGAGTTCGATGACCGCCTAGATGAGGCCGCTGCATATAGGGTCTATATGGACCTGCCACTATACGGTCGTCAGTATCTTCATGGTGAGATCGAGATTGTTGTGGATGGTTTTGAGTAAGGAAGGTGCGCGACATCGGGGATATAAAGCTCATTCTGCATATATATATATATATATATATATATAGATAGATAGAGAGAGAGAGAGAGAGAGAGAGAGAGAGAGAGAGAGAGAGAGAGAGAGAGAGAGAGAGA